GGGAGGCAGGGGGAGGCGGGGGGCGCGGGGCAGCCCCGCCTTTCCCCCCGAGGAGCCGCCGGGCGGCCATATTGCGGAGCTGTCTGCGGTGGTGGCGGCGCTTCTCGTCTCCGGCGGCCCAGCGCTTCCCACCGCCGCCTCTCCCTCCCTGCTGCAGCCGCGACGCCCGGCGCCGACGCGCAGCGCCCCGGCCGCGCTTGGGGCGGGAAGGAGCCGCTCGCTCTCAGGGTAAGCCGCCGGCGCCCTCCCTTCCCCCAGCCCCTGCTCCCAGGCGTAGCCGGAGACGCTGAGGTGGCGGCGAGAAGTTGCGGGGGCCCGCGCTGCCCGGCGGCCGCGCAGCGAGGGCCTCGCACGCCTCTCTGTTGGCGCCCCGTGGGCCGCGGCGCCACCGCTCTACCGGCCCGGCGGGCCAGGCCGTCCCCAGGGCCGGCGAGAGCGTCGGGGCGCGGCCCGAAGCAGCCGCCGCGCGTTTCTGCTCGGCTCGGGCGCGCGGTCCGCCCTCGGGGTGGGCCCTGGACCCCCCCAGCTCCGGGGGAGCGACGGCTTCCCGCCGCCTGGGCGCCGCCCCGGCGCGGCCTGGCCCGTCCCTTCAGGGTGCTCTGAAAATCCAGCCAGCGCGGGTAGAATTACATTTTGCAGTGTAGGGGAGGGGGGATTTATTAGAACTTCTCCCCCCCCCCCCGGGGGCCTCCAGTTTGAAAGTAAGGGTGTTGAATTACTAGAGAGCGTGCGTTCACCCCGCTGGCAAAAAGGATGTTGCATTACGGGGTTCGGGGCGCGGAGCCACTCCCGGCACCCGCACGCGCGAGGGCAGGCCCGCGGCTCCCGGGCGGCCCGCTCTACCTGCGGCGACTGCGGCGGCTGCGGCTGCGGCTGCGGGCGGCCTCGGAGCCCCGGAACTTTGTCCGGCCCTGCAGGCAGCCCGGCTTGGTGTCTCAGAGCCCACCGCACAAATTGAGGACCTTACCGTCCCCCCTTCCCGGGAAGGCTTCCCAACTTCATTTCCGGGCTAACTCCGAAAGAGGGGCGCTCGGTTATTTCAGTGTCAATAAAGCGCATCACTCCCTATACAGGTATGGCAGGATCCTTGAGCCGTGCCCAGTATTTGGTTATCCCCCGCCCCCCAGGAGTGGTGGTGATTAGTGAGATCGGAAAAGTGAAGTCAGTTTCACCAGAGATAAATTTTAAAAATAGAGTTGAGAATGTGTAGAGGACGTTTTAATCAGTCCTGAGGCACTAAGGCTGGCAGGATGCAAATGTAAAAGTCTACGATAATAAGGGTTTATTTGATAAAGGAGTACTTGGACATCCACATTGCAATCTCTTGTTTACGGAGCATACAGTTTTTACAACACTAAATACTCTTTTATATTTCAGACGGAGCTCTGAATGAACAATTGCCCCGTTCATTTGGCTGGGTAAATAAGTAATGGCCTAATCCATTTGCCAAAACAGCATTATTAGATTTGAGAAGAGATTAATATTCAGGATGGCACTTTTTTTTTTTTTAGTTTTCAGAACTCCATTGCTTTCACCGGTGTGTTTATCTTGCAGAGACTAACATGACAAAAATGTGACAAATGATAAAAGGTAGAACACTCCTTTTGAAGTTAATAGTAATGCTGTGAAAAGGATTGTATGACTTTGTTTCTTTGCTTAATCACTTTTTTATGTAGGAATTTAATAAGCAGTTGATATATTAAGGAACTAATGGATATGCATTGGAGTTCTTTACAGTTTTATTTAAATGAGGCAAAATTTGATTATGGCATTTAGAAATGTTAAATTCTTGCTCTTGTGGATTATACATTGTTTTGTTCACTCCTGTATCCGTACACATGGGAAAGTGTGTAGGAGAGACTCAGAAATATTTGTAGAAAAAATATCATTAATTTTGGTGTGGGTAAAGTATGTTCAATCTGTCCTTTGTTTTAGACATTGTCATTACTTAACTGGAACTTAAATTGATTATTCTTTTTCCTCTGGTGGTAAGAAATGACAGACTTTCTTCTCTGTCAGTAGTCTCAGGGAGGGGAGCAAGGGTTGTTTCTTGTTGATTGCTTTCCCATTGCCAAGAGCAGAATTGGATTTTATTATTCATTTTTATCTTTGGCAGGTTGTTGAAGTCTTTATATATTTTTATTTTAAGTTCTCAATTTTTTTTTTTTAAGATTTTATTTATTTATTTGATAGACACAGCGGGAGAGGGAACACAGGCGGGGGGAGTGGCAGAGGGAGAGAAGCAGGCTTCCCGCGGAGCAGGGAGCCCGACGCGGGGCTCGATCCCAGGACCCTGGGATCGTGACCTGAGCCGAAGGCAGACGTTTACTACTGAGCCACCCAGGGTCCCCATTCTCAATCTTTTATGTAATTTATTTTCTTTCTTTTTTTAATCTTTAAATTTTTTATTGTTATGTTAATCACCATGCATTACATCATTAGTTTTTGATGCAGTGTTCCACGATTCATTGTTTGTGCATAACACCCAGTGCTCCACGCAGAACGTGCCCCCCTCAACGCCCATCACCAGGCTAACCCATCCCCCCACCCCCCTCCCCTCTAGAACCCTCAGTTTGTTTTTCAGAGTCCATCGTCTCTCATGGTTCGTCTCCCCCTCCGACTTACCCCCCTTCATTCTTCCCCTCCTGCTATCTTCTTTTTTTTTTTCCTTAACATATATTGCATTATTTGTTTCAGAAGTACAGATCTGTGATTCAACAGTCTTGCACAGTTCACAGCGCTCACCATAGCACATACCCTCCCCAGTGTCTATCACCCAGCCACCCCATCCCTCCCTCTTTTAATATAATTTATGTATAGTCTAATTAGAGTCTACAGTGTGGAATGATGGTGGGAGTCTTGTTTTTTTCATCCATTTTTAACTTAATGAATTTTAACTTAGGTGATTTAAAAATGGCAAATTTTAACCAATATTTCCCAAAGACCAAAGCCTAAAAAATGTGTCATATGAAGATTGTGAAGACTGAGCTGTGCCAGTGGAGCATACCTGACAGGGTAAAGCTAATATAATTTTATGCTACTTATGTGAATCTGGGAACTCAAGGAAGTCGGGCCTCCAGCAGACCAAAAGCTAATGGACACTTTGTAACTACCCTGATACTACCCTTGGGGTACTGGATTCGCTGGAACTGGGTTGAGTTGCTGTTGACTCCCCTCTTACAAGGTTATTTTAAGCCTCATAGTGTTGTTACTGATAGCTAAAGATCATGGATCTTCCCTTTTGGCAGCCAGTGAAGCTCACCTCTTCTGTGATAGAAGTGGCCAGTCTGACCCCAGAGAGTTCCTCAGCTTCTAGCCTCTTTCACAGAATCCTGCCTTTCTTACTCATTTTAGTTCTTGGTATATTTCTTAATACTAATTTATATTGAACATAAATTTTAAACCATTTTTAAAGACTCTGAAAGTAATACACTTTATGACAAACTTTAAAAATCTAGAAAGATGTAAAGGAAAAATAAAGTCCTCTTCACTCCCCAGAACTCCCCTCCCCCACCCTTTCTCACATGTTTTTCATAGGTAATTAATTAATATTAGCACTTCTTTTCTTTTTTTTTTAAAGATTTTATTTATTTATTTGAGAGAGAGAGAAAGAGAGCACGAGAGGGAAGAGGGTCAGAGGGAGAAGCAGACTCCCTGCTGAGCAGGGAACCCTATGCGGGACTCGATCCCGGGACTCCAGGATCATGACCTGAGCCGGAGGCAGTCGCTTAACCGACTGAGCCACCCAGGCGCCCAGCACTTCTTTTCTTCTGTACGGAAAATTCCAATACTTACACAAGGATAAACATACACTTTTTATCTCATATTTATGATTTTAAAGTCTATAAAAATAAGGTTATTTTGTAACAAACATCGAAAGGGTGTTTATTACTGTGTTAAACATTAATGTTTCTCAGATTTTTATCAGTTGAATGCAATCACACAATGTGATTTCCTATAATCTCAAAGTGTGTTTATGTGTTTGTGCAGATTTTCTTGCTTAATGATGGAAGGTGAAGTTCACTTTCTGTTTTCTCCCTAGAGTATGGCATATGATTGATAGTGAAAAGTGGTGTTCTTTAAAAATATGTGTCTTTGTATTGGGAACTGTTTGGAAAGGAAATATAGTCCATATGATTTACTTCTTTCCTCATTCCATTTAATACTGAACTCTAGCTTCGGCTTCCTGGAAAAGAAGAGTTCAGTCAGGTTATGAGTTGTATAGAATTATTTTCTTTGAATAACCAGTATGTATAGAAATCCTTGCAGATTTACTAGTTTAAAACACTTAGTTTTGGGCGCCTGGGTGGCTCAGATGGTTAAGCGTCTGCCTTCGGCTCAGGTCATGATCCCAGGGTCCTGGGATCGAGTCCCGCATCGGGCTCCCTGCTCCGTGGGAGCCTGCTTCTCCCTCTGCTTCTCTCAGTCTCTCCCTCTGTCTCTCATGAATAAATAAATAAAAAATATTAAAAAAAAAATAAAACACTTAGTTTTATTTAATAGGTAAATGTTATAAATTTGCATATACATATGTTTTGTATTGTTTTTTCCTATTGTAATATATATCAGTTACCCTATAACAATTCTAAATTGCATCTTGCAGAGGTTATATATACAGTAAGGTAATGACTTTTTTTTTCTTTTACATCAAGCAGTCTAATGTAGATGAGAATGCTCAAGACATGCTGGGTTACTTTTCTACCTAATTTATATACATTTGAAATAAACTTTTTGAGTTTTGGTCAAGTTGATTTGTTTGAGAAGGATACTCTCTTTGCTGTTAACCATTTAGAGGAGAGGTCAACAAATTAGTTGGCAGGCCTGATGTGGCCTGCTTTCCTGATTTTGTAAATGAAGTTCTTTTGGAACACAGAAATCCCATTTGGTTACATATTGTATATGACTGCTTTTGTGAGCTGTGATGTCAGAGGCCATATATTTTGCAAAACCTAAAGTATTCACTCTCTGGCCCTTTACAGAAAAAGTTTGCCAACCACTGATTTAGAGGAAAAAAAAATCTTGTCAAAAGAATGTCTTAGGTACAGTATCAAAGAAGGAGGTAGTACATTGTTTTGTTTTTTTCCTCACGATTATAGAATTTATAAAGTTACGAATTTCAGTATCAGTATTTGGAATAGATAGTTTTTTCTGAGTTGTAGGTAGTCTCTGTGAGCTTTCAGGGCCTTAAATGTTTCTTTTATTTGTGGAAAGTTGAAGTTAAATAAAACTGGCTGCAGTCAAACTGAAGTGAGCGATCTTTTTTCAAGGACTTCTGCCACATAAGATACTTTGGCCTCAATAATAGAAAATTCTCAACCTGGCTTAAATAAAGAGGAAATTTATGATCTTACATAATAAAGTCCAGAGGCTCAAGAATAGCTCAGTAATGACATCAAGGACTCCTTCTCTTTACAATTCTCTGCCCTGTGGTCTTCCACATTGGCTGCATTTCCTCTTGTTGCGATCTGGCTGCAGCAGGACTAGCATGCCATCCATTCAACCGTACCCAGAGAAAAGGGAAGGACTCTCCTTTCCAGAAGCCCCCCAGCAGATGTCTTCATCTCATAGGCTGGGATTGGGATATATTCCATACCTAACTAGTCACTGGTAAGGGTAATGAAATTGCCCTTTCTTAATGACTCTCCTTCCACTAGATTGTTTTCCTTATTCATATACCAAGTGTCTTGGATTCTTTCTTACCCTCACCCAAAGTTACATCCACTATTGATCTGTCGTACATAATCTAGCATGAATATGTGAGTTCTATCTTCTTGGGTACTAAATTTATTTAAATTATGAAATGAAAAGTGTTGATTCCTGCTAAAATACTTCGAAGGCAGGGGTTGACAAACTGGCCCAGGAACCAAATGCAGCCTAGTCCCTGGTTTTGTTTTGTTTTGTTTTTTTGTTTTTGTTTTGTAAAGTTTTATTTGAACACATAGCACATTTGTTTACATATTATCTATGGCTGCTTTCATGCTACAACAGTAGAGTAGTTGCAGCAGAGACCATATGGCCTTGGAAAACCTAAGAAATTTATCTGCCCCCCCCTTTTTAAAGATTTTATTTATTTATTTGAGAGAGAGAGAGAGAGCAGAGAGAGAACACCAGTAGGGGGAGCAGCAGAGGGAGAGGGAGCCCCAGGCTCCCTGTTGAGTAAGGAGCCCTATGCCGGGTTTGATCCCAGGACTGAGATCAGGATCTGAGCTGAAGGCAGATGCTTAACCGACTGAGCCACCTAGGTGCCCCTTTACCTGGCCCTTTAGGGAAAAAGTTTGCTGACTTTAGATAACATGCCTACATTTATACTTCTGTACCAAATACTTTTTGTATTTGGCAAGTAAGATACTGAGAAAGTCACACTTTAATGGGAATATTGATGTGCTGTACTATAAAGTGTGTTAACTGCTTAAATGCTCTTGTGTGTAGGAACAGGAGTTAATAGTGCATCAGTGTTCTAAGCAGAGTCTTCTGTGATGTGAGTTCTGAGTGTTGTTTCCTACTTTATTTTTTACATTTTCCTATTTCTGTATGTTAACTAATAACCTTTCAATAAGTTATAACCAAAAATCCTGGCTAGTGCACGGAATGATGCGGGCACATGAATGCAACAAAGGGACCCTTGATAGAAGGGAGAATGGGAATACAGGAAATCTCAGCCATGCTTAATTGACTCTGAAACTGTTTGGCTTTTACTGAGTGTGTGGGATGGATTAAACTTTGTTAGCCATCATCAGGGCTCCTGATATTTAAGACATTTGCAGACTCTAGACTTAGAGAAACTATAAAATCCTAGTTTGGTTATTAAATAAACTTGGTATATATATACCAGTCAACAACCAGCATGATAATTACAGTTACCATTAAAAGGGTCAAATTATCTGGCCTTTAAATTTAATTTGATAAGGGTCTTGAATAGAGATGAGAGAGTCCTGAACTTGGGAGACCTAGTTGGGAGGAGTTTTTTTCTCCCCCACTTTCATGTTTGCTGTTTCTTGTAGTGTGTTGCTTATTAATATATTGTTTGGTCATCTTATAAATGAGAGGAAGATATTGCTCTTGACAATGATCAGCAGAAAAAGACAATTGAGTATTATATGTAAACTTAATTCACCAACAAAATCACCAACAAACTTCTGAGGCCCTACTGTGAGCCAGACAGCATTCCAGTTTCTAAAAGGGAGATGTGAATATCTTGAAAATTAGAAGCTTAATGGTAGAACTGCCATATAGCTTTATTGACTGCATGAGTTTTGTGCAGTTTAAGAGATATTTAAGAAACTATTCTCTTTTGAAAGTAAGCTATTATGATGTCTAGTGTTGCAAAACCTATAAAGCATAGAATTATATGCGGGGATTCAGGTCATTTTGGAACTTTGCTGCTTTCCTGCTGCAAAGGTGACGTCCATGAATCTTTTTACATTTTTAAACACTTACTGTATTAGTTTTTGGTGTTTTCATAAGTGTAAAATGAAGAACTTGGACTGGATTTAGCTTTCTTAGCTTTTAGCATTTAAAATTAATCAATGTAAATGGTAATGTATTATTTGTTTTTCTACCCGCCTTGGGAACAATATAGATAAGGTGTTTCCTTTAAATTTCCAGATTTCTGGGGCGCCTGGGTGGCTCAGTCATTAAGCGCCAGCCTTCCGCTCAGGTCTTGATCCCAGGGTCCTGGGGTCGAGCCCCGCATTGGGCTCTCTGCTCCGCGGGAGGCCTGCTTCTCCCTCTCCCACTCCCCCTGCTTGTGTTCCCTCTCTTGCTGTGTCTCTGTCAAATAAATAAATAAAATCTTAAAAAAAAAAACAAAAATAAATTTCCAGATTTCTTTTAGAAGAGAATCTGAATTCATTGTAAAACTTTTGTTTTTAATATTGCAATTCTGCTTTATATTTACGTTTTAGAAATTTGCTTTGCATGTAAAAATTGCTCAAAAATGTTGAATATTTGATTTCCTTGAAAATATCCTTGAACAAAAATCACTTTCTACATAAGCAACTAAATAATACCTTATTTGGAACTGCATATCACCCTTACAGGGAATCCATTTACAGAGATGATTATACCAGTTTTTTTTTTTTAAAGGTTTTATTTATTTATTTGACAGAGAGACACAACAAGAGAGGGAACATAAGCAGGGGGAGTGGGAGGGGAAGAAGCAGGCTTGCCGCGGAGCCCGGAGCCCGATGCGGGGCTCAATCCCAGGACCCTGGGACCATGACCTGAGCCGAAGGCAGACGCTTAACGACTGAGCCACCCAGGCGCCCTGTGATTATACCAGTATTAATGTGTACTTATAACATCTTGAGAGGTAGTCTTTTGACCTGAAAACAGAAAAATGAGCTTTAGCTTCTTCTTGAAAAGCTCTGGTAATTGTTTGAGATGAGCTTGTCTAGAATGATGTCAGAAAAAAAGCAGAATATGAAAGCCAGAAAACCCCAGGGTTTACAAGGACCTCTGACTTGTTAACTAGATTGATTACTTTGGGCAGGTCACTTATGTGAATCTTAAGTTACTTATTAAAAGAATGAGGATTGTGATACCTACCTATCTTGAGCAGAGGGAAGAGAGTAGTTATTATGATTAGGTTAAAAGAGGTGAAGTGGCTGAAGAGTGAGTATTCTGCAGGTACTTTCTTCATTCACTACCCTTGTCCTTGGTTTTGGCCTTCTTTATTTGCAAAATGGAGCTGAAATTTTTTGTTCTCTTTGCTTCACTTGAATGACGTGGCATTATGTAGCTAAAGGTACGTTAATAATGCTATTAAATTCAGAATTAACACTGAGCTAAAAATACAATATAGTTCTGTGTATAGTAGAGGTTTTATAAGCCTTTGTGTCTGTGAACTTGGAGAGGGAAAAAAGTTCCATCTTTTTTTTTTTTTTACACGTTTTCTTTCATTATTAATGTGGGCAACTGGTAGTATTAGCAGTAGCAGAGACTATTTCCAATAGAAATTGAAGATATTTTCATAGTTTACTGTTACAGAAATAACTCATTACTTAGAAGTTTAATCATTAGATCCACTGGTAAATATTTTTATTTAAAGATTAATTAAAAAGCACAGATATTACTGTGTCATAAATTTGTGATTTTAATATTTTGATAATTGCATTCCAGTATAATTGGAATTATGCAGTGTTAATGTATTTTATTTTGTGCATTTTAAAATGCTCATCTAGGAGCGCCTGGGTGGCCCAGTCGTTAAGCATCTGCCTTCGGCTCAGGTCATGATCCCAGGGTCCTGGGATCAAGCCCCACGTCGGGCTCCCTGATTGGGGGGAGGCCTGCTTCTCCCTCTCCCACTCCCCCTGCTGTGTTCCCTCTCTCGCTATGTATCTCTCTGTCAAATAAATAAATAAAATCTTGAAAAAAAAATGCTTTTCTAGGAAGAGCTTCACAGGCTTCACCAGAGTGGCCCATGCAGGGGAAAAGTGATTAAGAACTTTTTTATTGTAGATATTGTTTTGGTTTGACTGCCAGAGTTACCTTATTAATTCAGTTTATGCTTCTCTTTGTTACACTGTTTCCTAATCCCCCAGTAAATTGGCAAAGGAATTCTTCTGTAACTTTTTGGTCTGTGGAGAAACCACAGTTTCAGTGGTTTCAGAGATTGCTTCTATGTCTCAAAAGACAGAAAAAGAAATTATAGGCATGGAGGAAAAGGATATCTTAAGAGTAAAATTAGGCAGTGTGGTATAAATTATTGAAGCTTCGGTGTAGGCCCAGTATGGACTAGACTTAACACCTGTTTTACCACCTGACAGGTGGGAAGAATCTGTTGTGCCACTGACTTACTAGAGCTCAAGGTGTTTAGCATGAGGCTGTTTTTCCATTGTTTGAGGTAAAGAGGCTGTTTTAGGGTCACCCTCAGAGTTAAAGGACAAAGAAGAGAGTATTTCATATGAATGCTTTGTCTGTAAACATTGTGTTTAGAGTATATAACCATACAGTTAATCTTCTGGAAATGCGAAATGTATATGCTCGCAGATCTCTTAAAACTACTTGTTGAGTATGTATGTCACTGCCATGATTGTGCTTCATTGCTTCTGGGGGAGTCGGTATGGCAGAGAGGTAGGGTAAGACCACTTTTAAGAAATTTAGGAAGAGGGGCGCCTGGGTGGCTCAGTCGTTAAGCGTCTGCCTTCAGCTCAGGTCATGATCCCAGCATCCTGGGATCGAGCCCCGCATCGGGCTCCCCTCTCGGCGGGAAGCCTGCTTCTCTCTCCTATTCCTGCTGCTTCTGTTCTCTCTCTCGCTGTGTCTCTGTCAAATAAATAAATAAAATCTTTAAAAAAAAAAACAACTTAGGAAGAGTAGAGAGGAGGGAGTAAATTTTTTCTCTGTAATTATGTATTATGAGGGTAGATGGGAGAAGAGTTGATTTTTATTAAGTATCTCACAATAGTTTAGGTGATTATATATTATCTTTTTTTTTTTTTTTTTTTTTTTTTAGGGAAGAAAGGAAGACACTGAAAGACAGTGATTTCCAGATGAATCAGTTAGAGATGGAAACCCAGGACATGTATCTCGGTATCTTGCTGTCTTAGCTTTTCATGTGACATTTTATTAAATTGTCCATTCTGGTACTAACAAATGCTAGTTTCAGGAAAAAACATACTAATGCAATCATGGAAGGACTAGAAATGTATTACTGAGGTTAAATACTATATTAATATTATATTAAGTATTATATAAATATTTTTCGGTAATAACTAAATTGGCTAAAAAAGCTGCATCCTAAAAAAATTTAAGGCGGGATTCTTATATATGTCATATTATATAAGCTCATAAACTGAGATATGACCAATTTACTGAAATACTTTTTTTTTTTTAAATTCTCATCTGATTTTTAAAATTAGGAACTTAACAAAAATAAGACCCTGATTAGTATTAAGTGCCCAGTTCTGTATATTAAGATATCAGTTGTAAGGGTACCTGCGTTTTACATAGTTAAAACGAGTGGTTACATAATTACTTATGCTAATGTAAATGTTGACACAGTTTGTCATAATACACAGAAAACCTGTAATAGTCCATGTTATCACATAGTTTCAACATTGTAATTTTAATCATTGGCTTTTATAATGAGTACTGCTGAGAATATCTTGCTACAGATTACTTTCTTTTGTATTTCTTTATTTCTTTGGGGTATAATCCAAAAGCAGAATTTCCTGTTCAGAAAGAAATTGAACTTCTGTTAATATTGACAACTTATTTTCTAGAAATATTGAGCCAATTTATGGTGCTGCCAGCAGTATTTATATACTTGTTTAGCAGTACTATCATCAGTACTGGCATGTATAATAATAATTATTTTGCTAGTTTAATGAGTATATAATCAGTAATACCTTAA